AGAGAGAGAGAGAGAGAGAGAGAGAGAGAGAGAGAGAGAGAGAGAGAGAGAGAGAGAGAGAGAAAGAGAGAGAGGTTGCTGGCTGCCATAACCGCTTCTTCCTGGACAGAGACAACAGTGTGTTATCGAATTGATTAGCAGATACTGTCTTCGAGTTACATCTCACATTTGCTTTGGTGTGTGTTGCGACATCTGTTGTGGGCATGGTGTGAGAGCATCGTGTATGGTTGGTCTCAAAGGAGAGTTTTTTAAACAATGGTAAAAAAAAAAAAAGGAGTTCTCGATTACATCGGTTAGAATTGGAACGAGACAGAGAAAACTGCAAATGGACCCTGCATAAGGATCACCACGCAAACAAGTTGAGTAATGGTCCTATGTTTTTTTTTTGAGAGAACGGTCTACTACATCTACATCTACATCCCCTAGCATACAAGGACACAAGCATAAACTTCGGTCTTTTTTATTTTGGCAGGTCTGTCAGTTCTCAACCATAGAGCTTCGTTACCATCACAACATTTGTTATGCAGACGCAGTGCTTCCGCAAGGTCACAGAGGTGAATATGTGTTGACTGATTTCCCAACTGCACTTTTATACTTCACGATTCACTTTGCAGCTGTTGGTACTGGTTCTGAGTCCCGATACCCTGCCCCTTTTGGGCTTCGAGATGTTTGCCGACTTCCCTGTGACTTTGCGGCTGTCTCGACTGACTGACTGACAACTTGCCTAGTTACTTGTACTGGCATCCTCTAGCCCAGAACTGATACCTACCAGGAATTTCCTACCACATTCTACTTAAAAGCCAACCTACCTCGTCCTTTATGAATATTGTATGGGACGGACAAACGAACTGGGAACTGGGACCGAGTCTTGGGCTGGAGCCAGGGCTGCAGCTGTGAAATCCTTTCACGTTTTTAAAATGTTAACCAGGTTTGCAGCTGAGAAATCCTTTCACGTTTTTTAAATGTTAACATTTCGCTTAAACAACCACCAGGTTCCCAATCCAAAGCAGAGGTGAATAATCGCACCATGAACATGCGTGAACACTCAAATTACCGCCGCATCGAAACTGTGCTCTCGTTTTGCGACTGGCAGTCTCCAAGACATGTTTTGGCCGACATCAGCTGCTGGTCTCATCAGGGGCAGGCAAATAAGGTAGTGGACCTCAATATTTGTCCACTCTTATTAGTTCTATGTCAGTTAATGCACAGCCCCTTCCTCCGTTGACTCACTTGCATCTCCATCCAAGGATTCATCTCCTAGGTGTCAACTATCCAATAGGCCAACATCTTTTACCATCTGGTAATTCTGTTGAGTCCAGACCTTTGATGAATTTGAAGGCATACCCCTCGCCCACTGGTGAAAATATTTGCTGTGTGTGGTGATACCCCTGTATCCACGACTCTCTCGTTTTGTTGTGAGTAGGCCTAGTCTGATATCGGCTGGCCTCAAGGTCAGGGAGGCCGTCCGATGAGTGGCCTTCTTCTGATGAAATCCTGAATAGAAAAGTCTCCAGCAAGTCCTTGTAAACTACTTTCCCCCGCCCTGTACAGTCATTCTAGAAAGTCTCCAGAAAGTCCCAGGAACTGGTAGTATCATCGGTGCTTTTTAGACGACCAGTTTGTTTGACAGCTATTTTGTTCCAACTTGGTGGTTAACATGCCGCATCCTTGGGGACTCGGCCTACCTAACAGGAAAAGCTAGCGGCGCCAGGCAAAAAGATGCGATTTTGCACCCGTGGTGGTTCGGCCAAACTTCGCACGTGCTTGAACCCAGAATCCTCTCCATCCTTTGGCACCCGTTGTGGTTCGGCCAAACTTGACACGTGCTCGGACGCAGAAATCCGCAACATATCTCGTGGTTTGATGTCAGGTTTCTACCATACGGCGTGTGCTCATTTAACCTCCCCCCGGGATCCTCTGCATCCGTTCATCTCTTGTCTGTGCTCGAACCCAGGTAAACAGTGCCACACTGTTGATAAGCCGATGATGTCCTCTGACAAGCGTCGCATCACTCATTATTTGCCTACAAATCGGACTTTGCAGACTGCATGCTCCCCCAGAATCCTCTCCAGCCTTTCATCTCTTGTCCGGGCTCGAACCCAGGCAAACAGTGCCATGCTGTCATTTAGCCAATGATGTCCTCTGACAAGCATCACAACACTCACCAAGTTGCAAATAAATTGGACTTTGTAGACTGCGCACAGGGTGTAGGCTGGAGGACAGGCTTTTTCTTTCTTTTTTAGGCTAGGGGACAGGATATTTCTCTGAACCATCGGAATGCCCTCTTTCTTGCCTGATCCGGCTACCTGATGTGACCATAGATAGGCGCTCCTGAGTTCAGACTTCACCAAAGCCCAGATCTGTTCAAGAGTATATCCAACCAACCGCTCTTCCTTCGTTTCTGCGTGGACGACCTTTTCGATCTTCACAGTAGACTGCCCGTTTTCCCTGTAAGAATTCAATAGCAAATTAACTGTCGTTAGGATGGATTGCTAAGGTCGTTTTCTATACACTCGTATACATCGGAAAACGCACCAACCCATCCCCCTTTCCTCTTTCTGATTTGCTCACCCACTTCCCACCGTGCCACTGTATGACAATCCAAAGGTCGCAGTGTTATAGGTGCTGCACGCAAAGGGGTTGGCCTGACGTCTTCACTCGAATAGAACTTTTTTCCTGGTCATTACCATTGTGTCTGGACTGAAAATTGCACCAAATACATCTATAATTACCAGCCGTTCTATTCGGGTGAAGACGGTGATGGCCGTGGGGCGAGTTGCGACTCTAGGTGGAAAATGTGAGTGTGCTGAATTCGATGATTTTTCGCGCTCAAAATTATTGGCGGCAAATTTTGAAAAAATTGAACCATTTCAACAAAATCAGGGCATAGATTGAGTGCGTAGTAGGCGAACCTTTCAGAGCCAAATACTAGGAAAAATAAAATAAAATTCTGGATTACAATAACAAATTCTGGTGATAAAAGTTTGCATATCTTTGCTCTCTGCTGTCAACAGTAGGCCCCAGAGCTTTTTGGCTCGGTCCTCCAGGCTCTGGAAAATGCGTCAATTTGGTTCACTTTGCTCCGAGGGGACTGGTGGCTTTGAGTGCCGGAGTTGGGGCAAAATCATGAATCTGTCTTCAGATACTTTTCAATTTTGGAAATTTTTCTAAAAGCCTCTCGTGAGAGGAATGAGCCCTTGCGGGGCCCTTATCAGCCATGTACGTGTTCTGGGCTGAGGCCCCCAGCAAGCCCCATACCCGCCCTAAGTGAAGGCCGGCCTGAATATCCACGCGAGGCCTATTTCCAGCAATTTTCCATATGTGGGTACTCAGACAGTTGCAGCATGCCAGTTGGAGGGAAACGTGAGCCTTCAGGCTCTTTCCAGAAACAAGGGCTGCGCTGTACAGTTGAGCCCAGGGCCCGGGTGGTTGCGCCCTGGGCACATGCAGTGTGAGGCCGACACATCATGCAGTGGCCACGGACGAATGAGAAAGCAGCATTGTCGTCACACATGAGCTGTGAGCCAATGAGGAAGCGGCGAACACTTGGAGGCGTCGTGGCTGCCTGAATATGCCTAACTGCACGAGGCCCAGACCAGTATCGGAAACTGGGCCTGGCCGCAGACACCTGGGGCCCAACTGAAGCTACTTGGGCCCCCACACACCTGGCCAGGCCAGCCAGTAGCGACACACTTTCCGTAAAGGAAAGTGTGAGCCCCTGGCAGGGGCATTCTGGCCTTGGCAGGCAACGCAGACACGCTGCTGCGTTGCTGCACTAGTGTCTGCATGGGTGCTGCGGATCGGACACTCGCACGGGCGCTGAGGTGAGAGGGGCGCTGCGAGGCAGCGGGTGCACACCCGCCATAGCCGGGCAGCTGCTGCGCGAGCAGGTGATGGCGATGTTGGTCTTCCAGTAGGAGGTGAATGAGTTGTGGTCAAGGTCTGATGAGGGGAGGAGAGAGAACATACCTGGTGTATGCTGGTGGTCGGCATTGGTGTTGACGTCATGTACATTGGTCTTCGACTTCGATGTGATCCAGTCGCTTGAACGTAGATAGGCTAGATAGGCTGAGTAGAGTAGGCTGGGCGCTGAGCGCCAGACTGTGAGAGCGACATTGGATACAGTGTTGGTGTGACCAGGAGTGTCGACATTGGCACTTGAGTTCTTTGTATNGACATTGGATACAGTGTTGGTGTGACCAGGAGTGTCGACATTGGCACTTGAGTTCTTTGTATTGCTCTTATGTGGATGGAATCTTGTTGCATTGTTCTCTGGTTGGTTCATGACTATCTGGACTACTTCGTGATTTTGCAACTTGGGTTTCTGTCTATCGCTGTTGCTCATATTCCTTGCACTTGTTTTTATTTGCGAATTTACAGATTGTCTCTACATTGGGGGAAGACCCATCTTGCACCCGAAGTTTAAGATTTTGAAGAAAGTACAAGTGAGTAAATTCAACGTTCTCCACATTCCATGCCCAGTCCTCCACCTCTTCCACCCCCCCCCCCCCCCCCCCCCCCCCCCCCCTTTTTCTTCTCCTTCCTCCCCCTTTCCTCCTCCCTCCTCTGCCCTCCCACCGGCCTGACCCACTTGAGCTATCATTAAAACCCCCATTGCCCCTCTCCTCATGCTCTTTCTTTCTTTCTTCTTTTCAAACAGAGGAAAACAGTTCCTGTGACTTCCTTGTTCTCAAGGGCCGAAATCCACTAGCCCCTGAATCTGGATGTGTGTCATGGAGATATGCAGAAAAGCAAATGAATCCTCTTTTTCTGTACCTCTCCACAAACACGTCCAAACTCAGGCATTCAATCCAATCATCCTTGCTAGTGAGATCTCCCCCCTGTGGTCTATGTACTCGTATGTAGTCTATGCAACTTTTAATACATATACTATTATAGTAATTATAGGGGTAATTTATTAGCGCCCCCTCTCCCCCYCCCCCCCCCCAAACCCTCCTGTTGAACTGGCCAAGAATCCCACATTCCCAACCAGACTCTGCAAATCCCCTAAGAGATCTTACCACATGAAACCTTCCGTGGCCCCTCAAGTGGCTCCTCATCCCTAGCAGCTCAGTTCGTTCTCTCTTTTCTTTCCCCATTCATAGGGGAAGTTCGGTTCATTCACATTCAACAGTTGCCGTACTCCAAGCTGGTGCTGCAGTGACTGGCTGTCGACAGTTGTTCATGCTAAACCCTAAATGCAAACGGCAGCAGCCAATGACTGTATAGCACTGAGTGGGTGAATGTTTATGAAAACATTTCCTTGGCCTCCTGACGAGGCAGTCGAGACCGATTGGACGGGCTGTCGCATTTTTTTTTCTTCGAAGGGCGACAGCCTTGAGATATTATCATTGAGCTCACCGGCCCCAAGCAATTCATTAGTAGTTGGTTTTACTTGTCAAGTTCCATCATCTGGATTCGAACACAGGTCTGTATTTCAACAGTTCATGGGTGTACCCACTGAGCTAGGCTCTTGGGTATTTTTTTTGTCCTTTTCTTTGTTTCTTTCTGTAGATTTTTAAACCGGGAAGTTCTTTATCTCAATATGAAGTTGAGGAGATGTCTGCGCCATACTTTTGTGATTTTTTTTTCCTTTTCTTTTTTTTTTCAACTGTATTTTTGTGCTTTCACTGGGCCTTCAATGACTTTTGATGGGGTGTGAACCTATAGTCTGAAGCGTCGTCTTCCATCTGCTGTGTGTGGGAGAGTGAGTGATAGCCGACTTTAATTTTTGTCACAGATACCCTAATACACAGACCTTGTGACATCTATAACATTCACCCAACCGTATGATGGAATTGAATGTGTAATCATCTAGGCATGTTCTGCGTTGCAACACGTTCCATCAACTCACTTGCAGTGGAACTGCACGATTATGAAATTTAGACCAACTGTTGCCTTGCTCTCTCTAACTTTCTCTTTTCCGCCCTCTCTCTCTCTGTGGTTTGATCCGATCTCTGATGAGATCGATTGGGTTGTGCTTTCTGTAGGAGGATCTGGAACGGCGGGATTTAAATCCATTCGTTGAGAAGCAGCTTGACCCTCAGGCGATGAGAGAGTGGGACAGAGAGTGGGACGATGGAGAAAAGAAGCAGCAGCAACCAGTGGTTGTGCCTGTAGAGACTCCTGCTACCCTTGCTGACTTGATAGAATTGGCCAAAAAGAGCAAACTTGGGACTGAGGCAATTATTTCAATGATGAAAGCTATGGTAAGTTGGCCCCTCTCCCTGCGTGTGTGTGTGTGTGTGTGTGTGTGTGTGAGAGAGAGAGAGAGAGAGAGAGAGAGAGAGAGAGAGAGAGAGAGAGAGAGAGAGAGAGAGAATCAATGCAGCAACCCTTTTTCCACCCAGATGCATGGATATCATACTTGCAACCGTACCGTCCGGTGCGCCACACGGCGTGCGGCGCGGCACCTGCTCGTGCGCCGTACCAGTGGCAGTTTCCTTTTTTTTGTTTGTTTTTTTTGCTGTTTTTATAGATACAGAAGAGTGCAACACCTAAGNCGGCACCTGCTCGTGCGCCGTACCAGTGGCAGTTTCCTTTTTTTTGTTTGTTTTTTTTGCTGTTTTTATAGATACAGAAGAGTGCAACACCTAAGGAACTGATCTTTTTCAAGTACAGTTGCACAGATTTTTCTTTCCGTCCAATTGGGCATCAGAAATAGCTTCAAAATGGTGTCTGGGACATCAGTCTTGGCCTTTACGTAGCGGCATCACCCTCCCACTAGTTTTTTTTTCTTTTTTTTTTTTCCCATCCCATAAAAAATCTTTAAAGGGGATGCAGGTGACCATTGACCCAGCCATGCGGCCCCTGTTTTCTTNAGTTTTTTTTTCTTTTTTTTTTTTCCCATCCCATAAAAAATCTTTAAAGGGGATGCAGGTGACCATTGACCCAGCCATGCGGCCCCTGTTTTCTTTTTGAGTGAATATTTCCCCTGTGCGCCGCACCGTGCAGGTCGGCTCGTGCGCCAAACGTGCAGAATTTTCCACACGGCGTCCGCTTGCATGTATGATGGATATCATATCAGGAACAACCTTACCATGTGATATTTCAAAATGGTTCCGGTTCTTGGTGAAGCGGCCAGTTTTATGGCATACTCGCACTAGGACTCTTTTACTTATTTATGGACACATTTGCGGTCAGGTACATCCAAGTATAGCAGGATTGTGGTCGGATATATTTGAGATTGTGCTAGTGTGAGTATCCTCTATTTTGTGCGGTACAAGGCCTGCCGCGTCTGAGTACTTTAGAGCACAGGTGCATAAGCACCCATTGTGTATGTGCCCTATCTCCTGTGTGTTGTGTGTGTGTGTGTGTGTGTTAGCCCCAGATGAGTACATCCAGCATTGAAACAGCTTTTCCTTACAGTGTGTGTGTGTGTTAACTTTGTTTGTGGAATTTGGCGGTATCAGGTGCAAAAGGAAGAAGAGAAAGTGAAAATGGCCAAGCTTCAGCGATCTATCTTTCGTCATTTTGCTTCCAAGGGCGTGCCTAAGGGTTTGCATTGCCTGTCCCTGAGATTGACCGATGAATATGCCAACAACCCAGATGTTCAGCAGCCTCTTCCTCCACCTGACAAAATTGACCGTCTGACGGACAATTCCCTCCACCATTATGTTTTGATTACTGACAATGTTCTGGCTGCCTCAGTTGTCGTGGCTTCTGTTGTCCAAAACGCTGTAAATAAGTCCAAAGTGGTCATGCATGTCATCACCGATGAAATCACGTTTGGAGCGATCAGTGGGTGGTTTGCTATGAAGGCCAATTATATGGGAGATGCTACTATTGATGTGAAGAGCATTCAACAGATTTCCCGGGCTGTGCGGTTGTCCTTTCCTGTGAGCTCGTGGCTTGATTCGTCATTGCAACTTCAAGCCCACCTCTATGGATACCAAGCAGTGGAAGAAGAGCTTATGGACCCCCCCGCACCCTTGGAAACATCAACGACCACAGAGGCAAAGCACGCACGCTTCACGCCGTGGATGAGTCAGCTGAGAATGTACATGCCGGAGGTCAGTTTTTTTTTTGTTTGTTTGTTTTTTTGTCGTTGAACGAAAAGAGAAGTCTAATGCTTGTGGGTAAGACAAGGCTTATTGCTGATGCTGGCCATTTGCTTGATTGAGCAACTCTTAAGCCTGATGATCTTAATGTCACTCAGATGCTCAGTCTGATGTGTGGTCGTGTGACAAGCCTCGTTGCTGACTTGTTGATTGAAAACTTCTGCAGCACGGCAGTCTGATTGCTGTTCAAATGCACTCTCCGATGTGCTTCATTGTGAGAAAAACTTATCATTGCTGCATGCCTGCATGCGTGGTTGAAGGGTTTTGAAGGATGAAAGCGTGGTCACTCTGATCAAATGCACAAGCCGGAAAGTCTGATCACTTTTCGAATGCAAATTCTGATGTGTCATCATGAGAAAAGGGTCATTGTCAATTGCTTGGTTGAACGATTCTGAAACCTCACAGACAATCCGATTGCTGTTAGACTGCACATGCCGCTCTGTCGGTAGTGAAGAATGCGGAGGGAGCGGATGTGGTTGAATGTGCAGTCTGACCTGTCAAATGGTGAAAATGGCTTAAGGGGGGCCGAAGGGGGGGAAGGAGGCCGGGGAACATATGTTGTCAGGTAGTGCTGCAAATTATAAGTAGTTATAAGTTGGAGAGAAGACGGGGAAAGTGTGTTGGGGGTCATAGCAGTGTGTGTGGACAATGACTAGTTTGTTTTCTGAAAGAATGGATAGAGCATTAAACTGCCAGTACACAGCCTCAGCCTTGCTAAAAGAAACTAGTGGATTGGTCCGAAAAGTTTGAGGCCAGCGCGCTGTCGATAAAAAACATCAGCGGCTGGCGGCGTGTTTCGGCCTCCAAAAGGAGCCCACGGTCAATGTATGGGTGTACTGGTGGGTTGAACAGAGAAAGGTGCTTGTTTTGAACTTTAAAAGTTTAAAGGTAGAAAACATACATGCGGCGCATCGACATGCGCTGCACCGCGCAGTGCGCACGAGCGTGCGCATCGCATGCGGCACACTCTGGAATCGGGGGGTCACCAAAAAAAACCGAAAGTTGGGGGGGGGAGGGGGGTTGCAAGGCTGGTAGGCACTTTACGCCGCCGGTAAACGAAAAAAAAAGAAATATTTTTGAGGGTGCGCAGGGCCTCGCAAAAACGAAAGGGCGGGGAAATCCAAGTACTTCGTTTTTGAAGTACTCGCCCCTGCCCCCCGCCGGCCCCACCCCGTTAGTCGGCCTCAGCCCTGCCCTGCACCGTGTGTCCTCCTCGCCGCTGTCGTCGTTGTCTTCTCTCGTGTGCTGGAGCTGGAAGCAGCCCCCCACGTCGTCGTTCAGCCACACCCTGCAGCTTCGAACAGCAGGAGGCAGCGAGGAGCCGAGGGTCGCAGCAGC